TTGTGCGAATATTGAGCTGCAATACTGAGCGCACAAGAAGTTAAAAGTCGAGTGTGCGCCAGAAATTTAGACAGGGGTGTAAGAAATAAGTTTTCGCACATATATCGGAATAACCAGACGAACTAGAAACCCAGAATTTAGCGCAGCGTAGCAACCAGTCCGTTGGTATTCGAATTGGCGAATATGCGCAGCACATGGAATATTAAATCAAGAGAATAATGATTAGAGCACTGAATATAGTATCAGTCGTGTTCATCACATCCGCCACACCTTGAATGAGCGTGTGGATGTTTATAGTCCAGTGGTGGTCTTGAGCGCAGTTTTTCGGACCTTCTCGGAATGGGAACTTCAGACTCTTCACAGGTAGTGCGTTCTTCAGACGCAACGCTTTGTTCGGATACCGTGGATCATCTAGAAATCCAGAATTCAGCGCAGCGTAGCAACCAGCACGTATGTATTCGAACTGACGAATATGTACAGCATATGGAATAGTAAAACAAGTGAATAATGAATAGAGCAGTGAAGAGAGTATCAGTCATGTTCATCAAAATGAGATTAATTAAAACCAGTCGAAGAAGATTAAGATTTCTTGTTCGAGCATACACAACAAAATGCAACATTTTCACACAAAAAGTGGTATTCTATTCGCAAAAATTGTTTTTCGGCCAAGGATTACTCAGTGCACCTCCCTCTGACTGGTCGATCGCCATTTGGCCCCGCCTGAAGTCGAACTCTGATTGGCCTAAATGTGGACCCAGTTGGTGTCTCGATATCCCCTGAATGCCGATTGTCAAAAGCGTGTTCAGATGTCGTCTCGCGCTGCAGGATATCGCTGCATGCACTTCGAATAAGACGTATCGTTCATATGATTTTGGCCTGTTGTTGGGCAATAATACAATTTATGTACCTCTTGGCTGTTTTTCTGCTGGAAACGCCAGCTTGGGAAGATCAGATCGAGGATCGAGATGAGTCATCAAAATATTACGTTCAGCTGTTGGGCCATTGCCCTCATCACATGTCTTTCATTCCGTTATTCCGCCCGTTATCGGTGAGAGAAGCCGTAGAAGTTGAAACGACTGCATTTTGGTGCGTGGTTTTTGGCTGAAAAGCTGAAGTGAATCCAGCGGACGGGTGCTGTTTTTCAGGGATAACGGATATGAATATCGGCTTACTGAATGTCCTTTTTGATTAGCGGTCATTGCTCTTCATTAGACATAGTGGATTTCGGCAAATTAACCTGAAGAGCGCTGCCAAACACGATACAGTGTCAGTTGTTCCAGCCCAATATAGTCAATTACATCCTGGTTATCTTTCCTCAACGTCAATATCAAATGCTAATGCCTACAGGGTTAGGAAAACAACTGTATAGCGTTATCTTAAATAAGTGTTGGAATAAAAGCGGTATCTGTGGGTGTAGGTACGTGATCAGCTGGTGTCCGTTTCTATGGTGCGGGTAGCGGGTGTCACCTTTCGGGACGCCGTTTATGATGCGCAAAACGAGCTAGTTTGAATTCAGAGTCAGCATACTTACCGTTTTCATTTTGATCAGTGGGCGTAACTAAAACGCGATAAATCGGATAAATCGCAAATACGTATTCCCAGAAAGTATAATATCATAAATGGCCAAGGGGCTGATTCTAAAGACCGTGTTTGAATCACTTCACATCGCCACGCATCAGTCGTTCAGTGCATAGGCAGGGAAGATAAAGAGGCAGTGTTGTATCTTGCTTGCCTTCCCCTAGATTTGGCACGGAAAACATTACTCCCTTCGGAATAGGGTGGTTTGGTGTACTCAATACATGGCCTAACCAACACAGCTTCTAGCGCTTGACACATTCTTCATTGTAAGTCCCCGTTGCACAACCGAACAATCCCTCTATAGCTGTTTCGTCACGAATTCACCGCCACTAACCCACACGGAGTGTACTTCTGAAACAATAATTGTGAAACTCCTGAAGGCGTCTCAGTTTCACTGCTCGAACAGGCCAAATCTCATTATTGCAATATCGTCTGCATATTCTAGATCAGCATGGCTTCCTTCAGAGATTATTGGAACGCTGGCGTTTCGGTGACCTTCCAGGATTGGTCTCATTATCTCACTGATCATGAGATTAAATAGGAATGGAGAGAGTGGGCAACCCTGACGGGTGCCGTTTTGTGTACAGAGAATTTTGGAGAACTCACGATATGCTCTCACATGTTCGGAAATCTAAGAATACAAAGGACTTATAATATTCGAAGACTTCCGGGTCATCTCTCGCTAAGCAAGTGTGTCAAGCAGAACAGGCCGTTCGACGGAGTCGAATGCGCTTTGGAAATCCCGGAATTCTTAGCCTGCTGGTCGTTTGTACACATGACGTAGTTCTAACACCGGACAGTGTAAAAATTTGGTCAACTCAACCCTTATCAAGCCGGAATTCTGCATACTGCTCCCGAACAACAGTCACTTATTGATTTGCGCCACCGGCAACTGAAGGCAATGTGGTCAATTTGAGTTTGTAGCCGGCACAGCGTTGGAGGATACCATGTGGTCAGAAGACTTTGGCTATTTCGGAAGTTAGTACTGCATAAAACCAGTCCGTGGTCAGCACATAGCTGAAGCAATCGTTTGCCATTTTCCATACGTACTTAGTCCAATCCATGTCGAACATCTAGTTGAGTCTTAAATGCGCTAAGCTTGCCCACTCGTACATTTATATCTCCGGCAACCAAAACGATATCCGAGCTTTTAGCTCGCTGCAACGGGGCATTCTGGGCGTTGATGGTTTCAGAGTTACAGTCGTTGAAGCGTAAGCAGACACGACGAACATATGTGGATCAACTTCCCGCTTGTGAAATCCCTTAACAGATGTTACCAGGCAAACCGCACACAGGTGACTATCAGCGGGCATCTAGTCAAGTAGGGATCTTTTTGCCTGGTAACTTGACGGTACCGAACTCTACACATCCTCTCGCAGCAGACGTTTGATCGCCAGAGTGGAGTGTGGTGGGGTGGTTAGCTCAACCACTGTGCTTGCATCTTGAGTTCTTGTTTCTGATGCACAGCACACCAATGTCAGGCGAGCCCATTATGGGAGCAAGAGCAGCTTGTTGTGCTGCTTGCTTCCGGACACTGAAGACTGCCGGCTAGACTGGGCGTCGTGGCCTGAATATTCATTTCGAGTTGTCTGAGAATGCCGGCGCCGGATGACGCCCAAATCTTGCTTACAAAGGCAATCCAGGACGAATGAAGTCATCAATCGTAAGTATCGGGCCTGCACTGAGAGTCATTAATTGTTAGGGAAGAGGCGGTAGAAAAAAATGTAAAAGTGGAAGAAGGGGGACATCGGCATCGCTTTCCCGTGCTGATGTATGCAGCAAGTAAGGCCACCCAACTGACGTCACCACTGGGCGGCCGACGTGGCATGAGTCAATTGGTATGTGTGCAATTCATGGTTGTACGTGGGCAGGGATACTGGCAAGGTTCCCAGACCTATAGAGGAGGACGATTAGGGTCCTCAACTAAAGACTTTGGATCAACCGCAAGACGGTGTTTGGTGAGAAATGCCAGTACGTTTCAATTTTTACGGAGCAAGTCACTACACGTGTTCCAATCCTCTACGTGGTGGACCAGGAGAATGTGTTTGTCAGGCCTCTAACCATTGACCAACCCCTCACGCCTTGGTAAGGTCCAGTATCTTCGTGACGGCGAGGAATCTGTAGGTAACAAATATCAAAATGTAGTCTTTAAACATTTCGAGGCTGCTATCCAAGAACGTGGAATTTGATGGAAGCCAGTTTGGAAACTTTAATTGAGTGGAGGAAATGGGTGCGTTCATCTTCCCTGCGGGCGTAGGTCTCTGTCGACTAGTCACAGTTCAGAGCCTGTTCCAGTGACACGACGTAGAAATTATTCCCGAGATTAGCACCGTTTAATGGTAATAATAATAATGATTCAGCCGTATTACCGTTTCAGTGCCTAGCTGCCGTGCCCCGCAACGAAGGCTGAGACGCCGTCGAGTTGCCCAAACTTAGGATTAGCAACTTCTCGCTCGTGACTCATAGAAGCGGTGAAAAAATCACTCAACTGCAGCACCCCTTCAATGCCTTGGTTGTATGCCACCAGAAGTAAGCACGAGGGATACTGCCAGGTTGCCCAAGCTTAGGCAGGGGAATTCGGGAGGCAGAGGTCGGGTTTAAACCACGGAGCATCCGGTCAGTAAATTCGCCTTCTAACCACTTGAGCCATCCCTTCCGGAAGCGGTGACAGTGTTCATCACTCCGATTTGATACCGGATACTATCCGACAGCCCCAGCCGAGATATAAAGTTGGCTCTTGGGGTCTTACGCGGAACCTTGGTCTGCTGAACCTTACCCACGAGGCTGTGGGGCGAAACACCGAGTCCGAAATTCACTGGGGACCGCTGTTCACATGTCTTCTAGATGGCAGGACACTACCCAAGATCCCCATTTCACCTGTAGGACGCTGGTTTCTTGGAGCAACAAACCGGCCAGCTAAGGCTGACGTCATGCAATGAGTCAAGTGGAACTTTAACTGCTATCTATTTTCCTTCTTAGGGATACAAGTGACCGTTGAGTGAAAACTACACCTATGAGGAGAGCTATCGGGGTCTTCAACCTAAGCATTTGGCTAAAAAGCCTACAGCAGGGTAGTGATGTTTGGCCTGAGACCATCAGAACAGCCTATACTTTTAAGAAACAAGTTGCCATATTTCCCAACCTTTAACCTGCAGGACCAAAATACCGTGTTAGTCAGACCCATACACATTGACTAGTTTGATATGAGAGGCTCGCTGCCATGGAAGACCGGCGTAAGCCACTTATATGGGTGGAGTTTGAACGTACGTTCTGAAAAGCAGACGGAAGTTCTTCGGTTTGTATAAGCCACAGCACATACATCCAACTCATTGTTTTGCGACTGCCTGAACGGGTTATGACTTTCCGGCTAGGTTTTTCATGTTGCTTTTTATATCAGCCTGTTCTGTTTTATTACAGCCTTGCACTGGATGATGTTTTCTTAGTTGCTTTGGTTCCAAAAGCTTTCAACGAGCTTTCAACCCCAATACAGCCTTAACTCCAAGAGTTTTCGAAGTTGTGGGCTGCCAGTATATTCTTATATACTGATTGTCAAGGCTAACAACCTCATGCGTAAGTTCAATTTTCAACGGACCCAATGTTCTAAGGTTTGGCAGATGATATTTTTCTCATGATTGGCTTTAAAGTATAGGACCACAGTCTGTTCTCGCGGAAGTAGTGCAAAGGTCAAAGTATGAGGTGCCCACCTGATGGTCATGGTTTGGATGCATTCTTGGGTTTTCGGTTGCTGTTACCTGAATTCAATAGATTCTCACTCTTCTTGTTGAATGAAAGTTGTGTCCACAAGGGTACTACACGTGGGCGACCTGATTAGGTCTGCTTGAGAGGCTAGGACGGGTTCCTTTGGACGGAAAGATAAGCCGAATTGATCTGATAGAAACTCACTCCCCATGCTTGTGTCTTGCTGCACTGAATTTGTGCGCCAAACGCATCAGTCAGTTGTCTTCTCTACTTGTTTACCTACTTGCCTCACTAACCTTAGAGCTACTGCATGAACTATGAATGGAATTTCGAGTGGTGATTTTCCTTCACACTAATGGCCTATCCTTATTTTGAATGTTTTCCCGGCCCTTGTTTGGGACTGGTTCCGATCTCCTCATAAATATATGATGCTTAGTTTCACCGCGGGCTTTGCCCCAGTACATTTCATTCTTAATCTAACTGCTTTTGTTATAAAGATACTTACCGCATTGACACTCACTTTAGATGGGTAACGTGGTCTAGGGAATCCTAAATTCCAAAGAGTTACTGACTATTAACCTTTGCATGAATAGATGTGTGTATATGACTTATGTGTGCCCAATTCTGTCAACAACAGTACCTCAAGTGTATCGCTCCATCAAATGTACCAGATTTGCCGTGTCACCCACGAAACGTTGTCTTTTTGTCCTCCGCGATTTCGTTGAATCATCCCCATCTTGAAACGGGGTCTGCAAGAGTTCTACTGTAATTTTATGACTACTTTTCCACACTCTTACCCTTAGTTTATTTGTGAACAATTTGTAGTTGTTCACTGATGGTTGTACCCGGCAGCCTGTTCATAGTGGTGAGATGCGTGCCATTACATTTGGTTTTATTTAACGGAACAGGTGCTGCTGCCTTTCACAGAGTGATTTTCGGATGCTTTTGCTTCATATTCCCAGCTGCTGAGCAGCAGAACTATGGCGGCACAGAAGTTCTGGTTAATCTATTTGACCTTGCACTGCCTATATCTATATAATTTTTTTGAGGCCACGCGAGACTAGTTTTTCGGGAACATTTTAAATTTAAATTTGGATAAGTGGTGTATACTTTTAAATACACCCTTTTCAGGAACCACACCTCCCTGGATTCAGTAGGATAATGGTTTGGCCATGCGTACTCTCATCACTTGCTCTGTTTCTGATTGAAACTCTAAGAGAATTGAAAGAAACCTAAGGTTTAGAACTAATGTGTGGACGCATTTCGATTTCGAAGTACAACGTTTGCGAATTGAAACTGTTTTAGTTTTCGCAGTTCCTGTTATCACGCTTCAGATTCGCAGTCGTTCTGCTGTCATTCCGTATTTGTCTTTCGAATAGAAAATCCGCTTGTGAAAAGCGTACAATCAAGTGGAGTATGGTTTCGGTACCGGATGAAAATTCCAGCAACAGTAACTAAGATCGGTATCTGACAGTAAATGGAATTTCTTAGACAACAGCCTTCCCTCACCCTCTTGTGTGTCTAACACACAGTAACGTCTGTGTTAACGGTACACTACATTTTATTCAGTGACGTTCATCGTCCCCGAAGTAGACTTCCAAACGTATGCTCATGGTGTCGGTATCTCATTTTTTTCGGTCATTGTTCGCAAACTGTCGATCGGTGGTGTTTCATACCTCTGTTTTTGAATAGCTGGCGGTCTAGTAGACACGTTAACAAAATGACTGAACTTTTTGTTGAAATGAGGTCAACTAGCTTTCAAAAAACCTCATGGCATGGAAAAAAAGCAAAATAGCAGTCATATCCGTTGACGAAACTGCCATTCTGGATTTTTTGTTATCACGAAGGCGGTATGGTAAAAGCCCTGTAATAATGCACGAATTGTTCCCCAACCGTCGCAGTTACGTTTACAACAAAGAAATTTATCGGATAACTCAGGCTTACTCAATGATCAGTCCATTTATCACTAGGTGAACAAATGATGTGTTATCCGGTGTATCAGCTCAGGGGGAGAAATTGCTCACTGACCGGAAGGTCCGTGGTTCAAACCCAACCTGTGCATCTCGACTTCTACTGTCTAGGCTTGGACAACCTGGCAGTATCCCAACCGTTGTGCTTCCTTCGGGTAGCATGGAAGCTGGGCACCGAAACGATGTTACAGCTGGACGAATATCATTATTTATCATTTATCATCTCGTTTGTTCGCTAACGATAGTTCAGTTTAGTTTTTCATCTCAGTACCCATGCGCCGATGTTTCGGACGCACCTATGGTCAAACGTAGAGAGCTTTCGGATGTTCTCCACACGCGAAGCCCGCGCGTCTTCGACATAAAGTGGAACAGATCGGACCGTGATAATGTCACCAAAAAAATGTCAAATGTTAGAAAACGTTACCCTGGTCCTCTCATTTAGGGAATAGATTTAGTCTTTTACCAGTCCGCTGGGGCTTGTGCAGTTGTCCAGATAAACGAACTTATCTACGACACCGATCTCATAGCCTGAAATCACGAGGTTCGGGTTTGATCTCACCCAGTCTTGCAGTAGCAATGTACTCTTTGCAGATGCAAATCCCATACCGAATTGTGCGTTTTTCTTGAACCAAGGAGAGGAAGATTTTTAATTCACTTAGTTCTGAATGATTGAGTGGCCCTGATCAGTTTCCTCAGTAATGTTTGCGCTTCCTTTTCGAAAGCGAGAGTAGTGTTGTTTACATATTCCAACGCTACAGGGTTCTTTCCCAGAGGAGTGTCATCTAGCCAAGTGGTTTCGGTTGTTTCCGGATGGTCTACAGTCAGTACACAACTGATACAGACGTCCACCCTTGTCCGTGAGTTTCAGTTCAGTCCACCCTACTGATTCTTAACAGCCCTAATTCTACTCACTCGCTCATTCATATACCGGGAAATAACCGCAATATTTAAGCTCTCAGCCTGCCGTAATAGGGCGTACAAAGCGTAGTAAAAGTACCTTCGTGGAAATTATCACCACAATCTTTTGGCAGCGTACATGCACAAAAGTCAACGATTACCAGTGGGTCTACAAGACGGTTTTGCGGACATCCCCAAACGAACCACACACGTGACAGTCAATGGGTATCCAGTCAAAAAGACTCTAGGTTTGGAACATTATCATCATCATCAGTAGCAACTGTGTACACCTGGTACTTATACAATGGTTATAGCTGCCACAGTTTCGTTCACTGAGGATTTGGGGTGGGATAGATAGCCGCGTATTGGAGGTCGTTGCTGATCTAATTGATGCGCAAACACAGGGTTGTCAGCGGAGTTCTTATTGGAGAGATTGAGAGGGAAGCTATGTATTGAAGGCAATAGCTTGGATACACAAGCTCCATTAAACGTGCTACTGGACCATGTCTGACAGTGTCTGGTCATTGATGTGTCCCGACTCTGGATCCCCGTCCAGGAAGACAACAATGACCAGCGCAGCCATTTACTGGTGATGGCTTCCACACTTCGCTTCCAAGTCATTGTTTGACCTTCCCCTGCTCGTTTCCACCCTTCGCATGGTTGTGCGAAAAGAGCCCTTCGAGGAAGGTGGTCGACTGACATACGGAATACGTGATAGTGCCAGCGCAGTCTATGGAGTGCGATCAGTTCAGTTCCGTTCGTCCGTGTGCACTATCTTCAGAGGCTGTTTTGCAGGAGGTCAGTTTCGAAATGCTTGACCCATCTTTCCAGTCAACGTTTCACCAGATGAATTAATATGCCATCTTTTGCGTTTAACGTTTAACTGACCGTTGCTTTCCTAGGGCGAATCAATCATATCAGTTAATATAGGGCACGGCTATTTCCGGCAAAATCATTCTCACGTGTCCATCAGAGCTCTCAGTCTTTACTTAGGCTTTTCACTGTTTGACGTTTGATGGATTTTCGTACACCATCGTTCTCGTTGCCTGCTGGCACAGATTTCCTGGCATCAATCAGGACCAGTGATCTGGAGAATATTCAGTAATCTAGTGGTGGAATCGGAGAAGTTGGATAGACAGCACTGAATGCCGCTAGCATAGCTCCTTTTCCGTTTCGCCATGCTTGATCAAAGTGCTCACCACCAGTACAGTATTGGCTTACAGCAGAGAATTGTTCAGCTAGCTCAGATCGGTACTGTTGAGCTATGATATTTCTTCGATGATGGTGGATTGACATGTTTCTTGCTATATTCGATGGCCCGGAGGGAAACTAACTATCAGGCTTGTACGCCCCATGGCGTGATCGGAATCAGGTTGTGTGCCCTGAAGGAACAACAGTCTTGAACTGTGGCTCTGTACCGGTGGCTGATGGCCACGTGATCAAACTGGGTCCACAGTTGATTTGCAGTTGGTGATCTCCAGGTTACGCGTTACAAACCTTTGTGCTAAAAATTCCTACTGATCAGAAACAGTTCCTGAGGAGGACACAACTGGAGGAGTCGCATTCCGTTGTCTGAGCTTTTAACTCAGAAGTTTGACCCACAAGGCAGTGGGAGGATTTGGGGTTGTGTTCGGGGACCTTGACCCTAGCCTCTGACTCAAAAGCCTGATCCGTGAGGCAGTGTTAAGTAGAGTTTTCTCTGGGGACCCATTCCGGATCTGATGACTCAATGGTCTAACCTGCTCAATTGCAGGTGGTTGGCCTAACTGGAGGGTTCAGGAAGTAGGGCATTACTGTCTCATTCCTGATGCGGTTGCGCACAGCAGTTGCCCTTTGAGCAGCACCGGATTCTAGTTTTAAAATTATATCGACCGTATTGAATAATGCGCCGGCATTCACGGTCAACCGTTGGGCAATCGGAGTGTACGGTTTCTAGGGCCGACTATTTGTAAGACAGCGTCGCTGCTCCCATGAGTATGAACTTGCTGGTTGCCTGAGGGAAACACCTTACTGGATTTACACTCCCAGACCGTGCAATACCAATCAAGTCAGAACTAGCCGCGGTTTTTTTTAGCATCGGAAGTGCGCAACCAGAAGCAAGAAGAAACCTAGGACGAGCTCAGTTAAACAACGTTCCTTGAGTCTTGAATCCCCGTTTCATAGAGAAAGATCCTTTTTAGATTTTGGCTCATCAGTGATTTCGGGCTAAGACTGTCAGGGTAGTCAGCATTTTTAGAGAACAAGTCGCTAAACGTCCCAATGCACAACCTCGAGAATCGAAAACTGTTACGCAGTGCTCTACACATTCACCAACCTTGTATGATGAGCTCTGCGAGTGTCACATTAACACACCATTGCAAACTCATTGAATTATTGTGGTTCACAAGCCATAACGCTGCGGTTAAATACAGTGTCTTCGTGACGAGGTTTGCTACGCAGTTTGGCGCACACGTTTTGAATATGTTAAGTTCTGTGATTGAAGAGGGAATGGATCAGAATTTTCATGAGTTGATAGCTTTGTGATTGGCGTACGTCCCGGAAGCCAATCAGCAAACTGCTTCTGATGCACTATCGCTACGCCTATGATAAAGATACCTGTTAACTGGGCATGAAGTCACTCAAGGTGTGTGTGATGCATTGTGCTCAGACGTGATTGCTGAACTAGTTCCTTCGCGGTCGTTTTGGGTTCACCGCCTGTTAACTATGGAGCTATGATCAGTATAAGTGACTCCCATCAGTCTCGACTGCTCTGTCTTTTACGGTCACACTTCATGAGAAGTTGCTGCTGTCACACCATCGAGACAACCCACTGCAATTAGTTAGACACACTGTAGATGTGTCTTCCCTCAGATGCAATACAGCGTCAGGTCTCTCAAACGGGTAGATTCATTTCTTTGATCGTCTGTTTGAGCTTAGCCTGTAGTAATGGTTGAAAAATACCCTCTTCCCTCGTTTTACACTAAAAGGGTGAAGTTGTACACTTCTTACAGGCTTCAAAGATTCTTTACTTTGAACCCATTCTCTTAATACGTAGGGATTTTCCTCACTTGTACAGCGTGAACATCACTACCGAAATTCCAAGAAAAAATTTAGGTACTTCCGGATTAGTTACTTGGCCGCAAGAATTGTACGGTGGAGGACGTCATGAGTGTTGCATAGAAAGCGTTGACAACACTCACAATAATACCTACTGGCACGAAACCGCCAGAAGTGATGTGCGTAGTGGGTACAATTCGGTTACAAGCTCACAGTACTGCACTAATCTCTCGAGTAAACCCTTCTCTACAACGTCAAACAGATTTTAAGGGACGATCTGATGTCCGATCTGGACTAGAACTTAGTAGCTTACTTGACCGCTTTTACTATGCCCACCAAGCATCTGTTGGGTAGGTTAAACTAGCCTTTTTCCTCGTTTCAGAGAGCCTTGGTAAACGATGAATTCCCAATCGGTCCCAAACACTTTCCAACTGTTAGTCTTTTTCCTCTTTGGGGTGCATACCTTTGCGTGCCACATAGGTGGCATTTTTATTTGGAGATTTGGTGGCAAGCCAATTATGACAAAGCTCTGTCTTACCGATTAGGACTAAAGTTCTTGGCCTTCAGGGTTGCAAGACAGCTAATTCTCTTGCGCTTATTCCGTACCAATATCCTTTCTCCAAACTATGTGTAGTTTTGCTCAGTCATCATCTACTTTTTGGAAAGTTCCTGATTATTGAGGAAATCCGGGAGCAACACGGATATCTGACAGAGGGTTTTTGTGGTCTCGATCCGTAGCTCGTAGACCACGGCTGTCGAACACCTGATGTCGTAATTAATAAATGGAAGAACATGGGTCGAAATTTCGCTTTTGGTGATCTGAAAACTATTTAGCCATACACGTTATCCGCCCGGGGTTCTCAGGAATGTCACTTTTGTCGGACCTCTTTGCTTTCTGCGAATCCCTGATGTTTTTTGATAGGGTGTAAATGTATTAGTGGTGTTTACAGCTCTCCTGAACTTATTTGCATATTCGGTTTAATTCCTTTATATCGCGGTCATGATGATATTATCTTTCATTTAATGACGTTTTGTGGCGTAGGTTTTCTCTCCAACAATGGAGCGCTATTCCACGACTTCGTCGGCAATCTCTTTTGGTCAGCTGGCGCCGCTAGGTCCCCTGTTGTAAAGTAACCGAAATCTGGACTTCAGTTAACCCAGGTTGTCCATTTCTGTTTAAGCCATCTTCACCCGAGTTCGACCAGTGACCCTTATACTCATAGGCTCTGAATGTCACTGCGTCCAGCACCCATGGGTTGATGTTCGCTATGACCTCGAACCTCGCATGTGTTCTGTTCCAGTTGCTCCGTTTCCCAGACTGTCTGGGAAGTACTATCGTCCCCTGTTGAGGTCTACGGAGTATATCTTCAGATGCAGTGAAATATTGGTGGAGATTCTTGCTGATTTTCTGGTCGGAATGCACAGTCATCTTCATAACTTGTACCTGAGGGCTCTGTTGGAGGTTTGACAGCTTCAACTTTCAATATTCATCCGAAATTTACGTTCGCTACGTCAACTTTTCGTCATACTGTATTTACCTACATGGCCCGACACCTCGGTACTTGTGCCTTTAATGAGTTCTTGACTCCTGGCTGGATAAAATTTTTACGTAATTTCACATGTTTACGTGCTCCCTTCCTATTTCCAGACCCCCATTGTGTCAATCAAACTCGACCATTTGGAATTGGGGCACTGGGAATCAGGTGCACATAGCTTTTATCTGCTTGACAGGTTTATTAATATTATTGTTGCCAATTACGAACTGAGGACGAACATTTTTATGTTCATTTTTGTGCTCCATATTTGGAGCCCACCCTATGTATCTGAATGCCTTTGGTTTTTGTTACTCATCTCCGAATCCATTGGTCCGGTATTTCAGTACTTTCCGACGACAACCGATTCAATGGAATGGATTCAGCCCCTGTCACCCTGCACAACAAGCACGCATTAGTTCCATCTTTCCTAGCCTCCAAGGGCTTGGTGAAACTTCACATCGATTCGTACAACCATTTTATAGAAACAGAAATTAAGAATATTGTTCGAGCGAACAATCGTGTCAGTGTTCCTGAAGCCAACTGGTGGCTCGAATACAACGACGTATACGTGCGATCACCGACCGTCAATGATGGGGGTGTTGTCGCAAGTCGAGTGACACCGCATGACTGCCGACTACGGGACCTCACATACGCCGGAGAAATTTTAGTTGATGTAACGTTTATGCGCCAGAACGAGATTGTTTCCAAAAAAGGGGTTCTGATTGGCCGGATGCCTGTGATGCTGAAAAGCTCGGTTTGTATTCTCAATGGTAAGTCAGGATGGACAATGCTACTTGTTTTATCGTTCGACCCGCTGTTTTCCAAGTATCAAAATGCACTAGTGTTCAGTGATGGGGGGATCGTATGCTTCCTGTATAATGGGGCTGTATGGGGACTAGAAATCACTAGAAATTGTGAACCTCATGGAGGCTGCTCCTAAAAAATAGGTGATCGTGGAGAATCCTATACCAGGCGCTGGATAACCGGTTCGATTTTTTATAGACGACAGATCGAATCCACTAAACACTTAGAGGATTCATGTAAACGTTTCTTCCCCGTTTTCATAGATGGAGATATCTTGTGAGATTTACTTGATCTGGACATATGTTTTATTAGTATGCAGGTTGATATGTGTGGTAAACGAGACAATTAAGAGTCGAGTGCTTAGGTGTGGAAAATGAAAGCTTACAATAAAACGATCACACTTCCTGATCTGTGACCACCGGAATCCGCGTCGCTACTTCGCGTTAATTCGCTCTATTGCTTCTTCCAGTATACACTATGCATAATTTTACTGAAACCCCGAGAGTCCATTGTTGGTAAGCATTAAAGTGATTTGCAAATGAGTCTGTTCCCTTCTCTCTCCAGTCTTTTTTGTGGGTTGCTCTCTCTCCAGTTGATTTTTCCACCTAAGTGACAAATGTTGGTTGTAGAACTAACAATTGGCGCGCAGCAACCAAACTAATCCACTTTTAGCCGTGTGTTCCTTCTTTTCAACTCACTCGCTCGCCCAATCCACTTTTCGTGTCCAGGCAAAACGCCATCTGAACTTATGCGTTTGAAAGAATGTCCGCTGGATCCCGGAGGGTATTTCATCATAGGTGGTACGGAGAAGGTGATTCTCATGCAAGAACAAATGTCAAAAAATCGTTTGATCGTCGAAGAGGACAGCAAACGTGGTCTTGTGTGTTCTGTCACCTCGTCTTCGGCTCAAACCAAATCGAAAACGAATATCATCATGAAAGACGACAAATTCTTTTTGGCACATAATTCGTTTACGGTTGATGTTCCCGTGGCTATACTTTTCAAAGCGATGGGGATCACGTCTGACCAGGAAATTCTGCACTATATTGGCACTGAAGAGTCCATATGGGCCAATTTCGTACCCAGTTTGAAGCAGTGTCTGGAGAGCAGTGTAGGTGGTTTGTTACGTTAAAATTCACTATTTTTTCGTCGGATCATATAACATCTGCTCCCCAAAGGAGTGTACAACTAGGGGGTTTACTTTACCTTTCTTAACTGTATGATGTGCGCCTTACTTGTCCGTGGCGTAAGGATTTTCGCAGCCGCCTAACAAAATGAAAGTACAATGTACCTTGAGGAAAGCAAATGTTCTCCGAGCTGATTTTTGTGCTTATAGTTATTGTAGCACTAGCTGTTTGAGCTACCTTAGTCCTGGCGCAAGCTATAGCCATCATGGTTTACGTGCGCTGACTTATTCGTGCTCCGCAACACCGAACACCATATTTGATAGTGGCAACATCTGTCATTTCCAAGATTTTTCGGCATAGTATTCAGATTCTTTCCAAACGAACCGATCAGTGGTGAAGTAGTATTTCAGATCACTCTGAGGACCTGAAGATATGGGGTAGATTTGGAAGTGGACTGCTAAGTTTTCCACATAAAATCAAATGCCGAGAGACCTCTCCAGGATTCCAGAGCAGCGTACGTCTTCAGTCACAATGTAGAATGTACCCTGCTGTAAGGAACCATTACATACGATCATCCGTTCTTTTGGTGATGATTACACTAGATTCAAAATTGACATATTTTGTGAAGGTCGGTAGTTTCCGTGTTGAACTCAGTACAGCTAATCAACATCGAAAACGCTCACATCTCCTTCTATTCTGCTTTTGTTTACCAGGTGCACACTAGACTGGATGCTTGTCGATGGTTACAGTCTCGTTTGCAGCAGCGACGCTTTCGTCCAGGGCTTACCTCGGGAAAGCCCACCAGACCGGATGGTCCTGTATCGGAAGAAGATGTGGTACTTGAGATGCAACGTTTCATTCGTGACATAATCATTACGCATGTGGAAATGGAGAAATTCAACTTCGCACCTAGGGCACTATTTCTCGGACAGATGGTTCGGTATTTGATTTTGGCTAACGAACATCAAATCCCGGTAAGAGTTACCGGTTTTGCACATTGGTCAAGATTTTCATCCTTTTTGTGCAGACTGACATGTCAGTTGCAGGTTCTTTATCCGTCGTGCGCATTTCCGTAAACCTTTTAGTCTGACGGTTGAAGTGTGTGATGTGGGATCTTCACACCTTCGGCTGTCTCCCCGTGATTTTCCTTGCATACGACCGGAAAGCCTGTTTTGTCTGGCACGCCACCGATTCCAGTGGCGCACATGATGTCATTTTTTAGCCGAATCGCGTGGCTGTTTTGCGTGAGGTTTGCAAGGAATGCTAAGCTATTTTTGCTGATAGTACCTTACTCCGATCTTGTGGTCGGATATGTTTATTTCAAAGCTGCTCTTGATGGGTTTCTGGGGGATATGGGGATTATTTGCTTTATGTCCCTATCTTTCGTCTTTTAGCTATTCACCAGAGCTTTCTTTCCTCATAGATGTATGGCGATTAAGCGTGAACATTCACTATTGTTGGCCTATCGAGTGAAATTTTCTGTTCCAGGATCACAAAGGACCTTATGTTGTGTGCTTTATCCACGTTGCTTGGGTTGAAACTTAATGACAAGTCACCGCTCCGGGTAGTGATTCCCTCGTTCATCAGGTTATACCCGGGGAAGAGGGTGGGGAGCACATGGACAGCCGTAAAAAATCCAGACACACGTGTCGATTTAAGTCTGGTAAAGAATTCCTCTTCAAACTCCACCACGCCATGTCAGGACGTCCTAATTCAACATGGGATATTTATATAAGAATGCTTCTAGAAACCCAATCACCCATGTCTTTTCCTAAGATTTTCAGAGAGACGCATCACCTTTGCGTTGTTGTTAGCGGTGTTATGTTTTCAGCCATCTAGCTCGTTAAAATTGTGTGCCTAGTATTTTCTCTCGATCGACTATTGCGTATTTGTATAGACCAGGTCGGTCGCGAAGTTGTAACCCCATTCAAGCGACTCCTCATATCTCTTCGGGTTGCACTGATTAACGAAAAAACTTGAGTAGGGTAATAGCATTGCCAGCTCAATCATTAATTCATTTCTTCCATTCTGCTTGTCAGCCAGATGACCGGGACTTTTATGGCAACAAACGCATCGAGTTGGCTGGTAGCTTACTCGCACTTCTATTTGAAGACGTATTCAAAACGTTTAACGAGGATATGTGGTTGACAGTGTCTAAGATTGATACGAAACGTCGCTGCACACCATTTGATATCTCTCGTCACATAAAAACTTGGATGATCACAGAACAGCTCAATCGTGCAATATCCTCTGGCAACTGGATCATCAAACGTTTTCGGATGATGCGACATGGTGTTACCCAAATAGTCAGCCGCTTGTCTTATGTGGCTGCTTTGGGGCACATGACGCGATTGACCAGCACATTCGAGAAGACGCGTAAGGTGAGGTGTTCGAGCAATTGGTTGTTATGAGTGTTTCACTAATAATAAGTTCAAGGTTTATCGCTCATTAGTATACGTTTTTGCCTTCTCAGGTGTCTGTTGACTCTTTTGACTTTCGTATCTGGTTGTGAATCACAAGATATAATTTATCAGCTGCCCCGATCTCGATTACACTTTATCAGGGTTGAAAACAACTTAGTATAGAAGGTACTGTACTGAGTTCTTGATTTGGTGGCCCTCGTTGGCATGTAGTATAGGGGAAAGTAGTGTTTGGTAAGTTCATTTTGGTCCTAATCCCATTATGCTGAAACAATCCGGTACAATTCAATACAGTGGGTTCACCTAAATTGATAGTCATAAGAGGTGTGCATCACTTGGATCCATGACGGGTTTCCAAACACATTCATCAGCAGAGAAGCTTATGTTATAATCGCCAGCTGTGAGTTCACCTAGACAGTCCTCTGGATTCAGTACGACTATGGTCTTCATAGTCGTGTGGAAGCGTCAGGTCTTGGGGATATTGTGTTTACGGAGATGATTGTTTTATTCCATGATATGCATATTTTTCCGTCATGGCCCTAAAGTCACACTGTGTAGGAAATCATATGGAGTTTTTGTGAGACAGTGAACTGGTTACGGTCATCAGAAAAGACGGGTGATACTCAGCAGGTCTGTTGCTTTGCTGACATTTTGCTAAATTAAACTTGCAAGCTTTACTAAGTTGCACCCCGCAGACAAACACCGACGTCGTACATCAAAATTTTGCTAGTTGAACCAGTTATTCTTTTTGGGGGATGGGTAGTTCTTCACATTTTCCAGTTTTCCTTGCGTTTTTGTTTTACACTGAATTTCACAGGAAAAACAGCGGGCACCGTGATGAAATATGGAGGTTTACAGGTTTCAGATGCACGTGAGGTTCTGTGTGTGACGTTTGTAGTCTGTGTTCATTTTTTTGTGTTTTTTATTCGCAGGTTTCCGGCCCCCGTTCAATTCACGCGAGCCAATGGGGATTTGTGTGTCCGTCAGATACTCCTGAAGGTGAAGCATGCGGTCTGGTGAAAAATGTCGCTCTAATGTGTCATGTCACCGTGGAGATGGACGATACTGAACTTATTCGCTTGCTTAGCAGCTATTACGTGATGCCCCTTCACCAGTTTCTGTATGGGAGGACAGAGTGAGTTTGATCATAGTGAGAGTTTCACTTTATCACCAACTACTCGTAGTCTGAGAAATTTTGCAGTTAATATTCAGGGACTTTCAAACAATATACTTGACTCGTGGGGTCAAGTGAAGGTCGGATAAAGACTGGCCTTACCGTAATATGACGATTTGTGTGCCTCCGTGAGCTATACTGGGTGGTGTTCATGCGACAGTAACAGAGTCTTTTATACTAGGTGCGTCAATGGTTAGCGTCCTGATCAACACAGTTTTCTGTTCTTCGAGGCTAGTGGTTGAAGCATGTGTGGCGACTTGTTCCGTAAAAATTGAAATGCAGTTGTGTTTCCTGCCCAACACCTCTACCTCGCGGTCGGCCTTTTGACCTTAATTGTCCTTCGGTTGTGCAGGCGCCCTGACAGTATGCCATCCCGCGTACACCCATAAATCGCACATATACAAATGAACTCATGCCACATCGGCCGCCCAGTGGTGACAGCAATAGAGTGGCCTTACTTGCTGTATACAGAAGGGCGAATAAGCGAAAGCAGACTACTGCTCACGCCTCCCTTCTTACGATTTCAGGTATTCCCTCTTCCACCCTACCCCATCCAAGTTTGAATACTCTTCCCACACAATAATTGGACAGGCTCTCTTCCACGTTCCCGCTGCGCACCTGTGGTGATGCAGAGGCTACTAGATAACTTAGGGTGTTGCGCAGTCGAGCGAGAGCGTCTCTACCCGGTGGAATATTCATTTACAGCCGTCTCTGAGTTTGACAATGTCCGTGAGGCGCGTCGCATCCTGCCCACGCCCCAACGGACTGTATCTCTGAATCTCCCAAAGATAGTTACTCTGATGCTCTAGGCGCTCTTTCACAACGGGCTAAAAGCTCAACCATAGCTGTGATTGGTGCTGACATGAACGCCCAGGTAGGTAGACTAAGCGTGCCTAGGCCAAATTGGGTAGTTTTGGTGAATTAGATACGAGACGCACGGAAAACCGGAATCGTCTACTTAACGTGCGTGCCGATCACAAACTTTTCCTCTGCAGTGCACATTTCCGGAACAGCAAAGGTCTTTTGACTGGGGTGCCCACGAACGAGCCAGTCCAGAATCCAAACCGAGCAGATTGTCGTCAGTTGCGACAGTCGATCACTGTCTGTCGCTCCTTTTGGGCTACTAGTGTGGACTCTGACCGTTCACTTGTGTGCTGCTGCTTTTCACTGCGCTTTTCAACTATACGCAAAACACACCTCGCTTAGCCATTGAGAAGCTAGCAGACCCGGAAATCAAGCGAACCTATCAGAACTGGCTCCTCGGACGCCTGCCGGGTTGTTCGATGTCGGATATTAATGGCCACTGGGAACCGAGATCCACAGTGCTACTCAGGAATGGAACTTCCGTTTGGAGTACAACTCAGCCAGTCTCATCCAAGCATTGGCTTTGTTGGAAGCCCGATGAAAGGTTTGTCTTGGCCGCAGCCACAACTCAACCCGATGCATCACCCAACGCTAAATAATTCTGAGTGTCCATGCAGACCGTTAAGTTTGGTGGACCCGAAGGACCGAAGAAATGAAAGGTGCTATAAATGCTGGAAACGTCCACATGCTGTTCCACTTGATTCGTACGCCTGGTCCCCGTAAACATCTTTTCAGCAACATCAGGGACATTAATGTCTGCATACCTGGTAAGAGCTGCCCAAACACCCATCGTATGTATTGGTAAAAAACTGGTGCATTTACGTGATGATCTATATATGGTACCAAGAGATTGCGCTACCCTACGCAAAGGCGAATGAGGGGACCGACAAAAGCACAACAACATTACAAGATAGAGGAAGCTAGACCTACTGAGAAGTCTGGTTGAGGCTTTCGACGCTAGGAGTTTCAACAGACCTAATCTCGCGCTTACATACTACGAATGGGACGACATCTTCGGGGAATACGGACCCCAATGGAAAGAAACAGCCTAACATTGTATCAACGATTATACCATGAAAATTTTCACAGAACAACAAACATCCCGATTTGAGGATATTATGGGGTCGGGCAACCACAATCGAGACTGTCAACATCCACGAGATACACGGGATGGTGAAGACTGGTTAGATCTATTGTGTGGGGTCAAGTGAAGGTCGGATAAAGACTGGCCTTACCGTAATATGACGATTTGTGTGCCTCCGTGAGCTATACTGGGTGGTGTTCATGCGACAGTAACAGAGTCTTTTATACTAGGTGCGTCAATGGTTAGCGTCCTGATCAACACAGTTTTCTGTTCTTCGAGGCTAGTGGTTGAAGCATGTGTGGCGACTTGTTCCGTAAAAATTGAAATGCAGTTGTGTTTCCTGCCCAACACCTCTACCTCGCGGTCGGCCTTTTGACCTTAATTGTCCTTCGGTTGTGCAGGCGCCCTGACAGTATGCCATCCCGCGTACACCCATAAATCGCACATATACAAATGAACTCATGCCACATCGGCCGCCCAGTGGTGACAGCAATAGAGTGGCCTTACTTGCTGTATACAGAAGGGCGAATAAGCGAAAGCAGACTACTGCTCACGCCTCCCTTCTTACGATTTCAGGTATTCCCTCTTCCACCCTACCCCATCCAAGTTTGAATACTCTTCCCACACAATAATTGGACAGGCTCTCTTCCACGTTCCCGCTGCGCACCTGTGGTGATGCAGAGGCTACTAGATAACTTAGGGTGTTGCGCAGTCGAGCGAGAGCGTCTCTACCCGGTGGAATATTCATTTACAGCCGTCTCTGAGTTTGACAATGTCCGTGAGGCGCGTCGCATCCTGCCCACGCCCCAACGGACTGTATCTCTGAATCTCCCAAAGATAGTTACTCTGATGCTCTAGGCGCTCTTTCACAACGGGCTAAAAGCTCAACCATAGCTGTGATTGGTGCTGACATGAACGCCCAGGTAGGTAGACTAAGCGTGCCTAGGCCAAATTGGGTAGTTTTGGTGAATTAGATACGAGACGCACGGAAAACCGGAATCGTCTACTTAACGTGCGTGCCGATCACAAACTTTTCCTCTGCAGTGCACATTTCCGGAACAGCAAAGGTCTTTTGACTGGGGTGCCCACGAACGAGCCAGTCCAGAATCCAAACCGAGCAGATTGTCGTCAGTTGCGACAGTCGATCACTGTCTGTCGCTCCTTTTGGGCTACTAGTGTGGACTCTGACCGTTCACTTGTGTGCTGCTGCTTTTCACTGCGCTTTTCAACTATACGCAAAACACACCTCGCTTAGCCATTGAGAAGCTAGCAGACCCGGAAATCAAGCGAACCTATCAGAACTGGCTCCTCGGACGCCTGCCGGGTTGTTCGATGTCGGATATTAATGGCCACTGGGAACCGAGATCCACAGTGCTACTCAGGAATGGAACTTCCGTTTGGAGTACAACTCAGCCAGTCTCATCCAAGCATTGGCTTTGTTGGAAGCCCGATGAAAGGTTTGTCTTGGCCGCAGCCACAACTCAACCCGATGCATCACCCAACGCTAAATAATTCTGAGTGTCCATGCAGACCGTTAAGTTTGGTGGACCCGAAGGACCGAAGAAATGAAAGGTGCTATAAATGCTGGAAACGTCCACATGCTGTTCCACTTGATTCGTACGCCTGGTCCCCGTAAACATCTTTTCAGCAACATCAGGGACATTAATGTCTGCATACCTGGTAAGAGCTGCCCAAACACCCATCGTATGTATTGGTAAAAAACTGGTGCATTTACGTGATGATCTATATATGGTACCAAGAGATTGCGCTACCCTACGCAAAGGCGAATGAGGGGACCGACAAAAGCACAACAACATTACAAGATAGAGGAAGCTAGACCTACTGAGAAGTCTGGTTGAGGCTTTCGACGCTAGGAGTTTCAACAGACCTAATCTCGCGATACTACACTACGAATGGGACGACATCTTCGGGGAATACGGACCCCAATGGAAAGAAACAGCCTAACATTGTATCAACGATTATACCAATTTTCACATCACAGAACAACAAACATCCCGATTTGAGGATATTATGGGGTCGGGCAACCACAATCGAGACTGTCAACATCCACGAGATACACGGGATGGTGAAGACTGGTTAGATCTATTGTTTGAAGTTAACGAAATACAGAAAAATAATTCCTCTGCAACCTAACCAGGATAATGAACAAAGAAATAGACAGAAAGAACGCATTCGTCATCGAGCCACACACAACTACTGGCAGAACTCTGTTTGCTATACCTAATGCCGAAAACTACATCTACGGAACCGTACAACGATCGCGAGATCCCAGTTTTTCGAACAAAGAAATAGACAGAAAGAACGCATTCGTCATCGAGGGACCCACAACTACTGGCAGAACTCTGTTTGCTATACCTAATGCCGAAAACTACATCTACGGAACCGTACAACGATCGCGAGATCACAGCCAGTTTTTCCTAATGAGCCTACTGAACAAAGCTCTCACACTAATGGAAGAGCCGAGGATTAATCAACTCACTGTAAATTATTTCAAGGCGTTCTTTCAATGCGTTCTTTCTGTCTATTTCTTTGTTCATTATCCTGGTTAGGTTGCATAGGAATTATTTTTCTGTATTTCGTTAACTTCAA